CAGTGCGGTTTTTTGCTTGGTGAGGTCTACAACTGGACGAGGGGTCGTGATCGAGGACGAAGAAGAAGTTTTGATTTCTGTTGCGGATTGTTCCACAGCAGCTCCTCCGCTTGTAGCAACCGCCCCGACTACCGAAGACCAAAGGGAAGAGAAAACACCCCCACCAGCAGACTCGTCATCTGTAGTTTCAGTGTTGTGGCGGTCTTCCGAGGGAGGTGTTGCCACTGCTTTGTCTTCTTTATTTTTTGCAGTTTTCTGCGCGTGACAAGCTTTTTTCAGCATTTCGACCACTTCCTTCCCGCTGGAAAACTGCACGTAGGCAACAGGCTCCTCGGATTTGTCTTCCGACAAAGCGTTCAAATATTTGGTCGGCTTGGTTTATGGGGGTGTCAGGATTGAAATCGTCAAAGTTGAAATGATTTGCCATGCATAAAATGCAATGCAAAAAGTGACTCTATTGCAGAGGACACACGGGAGACAGATTATAGTCCTGGTAAGGATCAAAAGTTGGACTGCTGACTAGCATGACAGAAGGCAGCTCTTTTGCCCTAAACCGCATGACATACTCGCTTCCAGGACCGGGAAAATTTGCCATGCGCCGACTACAAACTGTAGGTCTAACTGGTAACCGTTTTATGCATGACAAGCTACTTATACTTATTCAACTTTGACGATTTCAAACCTGACACATCCATATGGTTTTCAAATCCGATTTTTCCAAATACGGTTTTCCGATCCAGGGCTTGTCCGTGTCGACATGCAGTTCGCTCGCGGAGTCCTTTTTCTCCAAATAGATCCGAAACGGGTGGAGATAAGGAGAGAAGTTTTTGTTCCACTTCTCGTGCATAGATAAGGAAGCAGTGTCAGTGTGGCCGCTGTGGTCTTCTAGTACTCCTATTTGAGGTTCTTTGCTGTAGTTATTCTTCAGCCGCGCCAGCGCCCCCTGGTCCTGTGTGTAGTAGAGCACCTGCTTCAGAATCACCCGTCGCGGCGAGGAGTTCTTGTGCAGCCTTGTGTCAAGCAAATCGGGAAACCAGCGCAGCGCAGTGTCCAGACGAACCCAAAGTGGATCGGCATCGTAATTCGTGAAGAAACCCTTTTCCTCGTAGATGCTCCTGCTAGTGTCGACAAGCGGTGCCTCTTCATTCGCACGAACGGTAGCCGGAGTCGCTGTGATGATGGCCCGCCAGGGTAATATCGCCGAGAGGACAAGCGTCAGACCGCCCCTGAGCCTGACAAGCGAACGACAGCAAAGGGACAGACCATGCGCGGACATGATGTTGCTGGTGTCCATATGATTTCGCTTGGCTTTCTTTCGACAGCAGGAAAATTTAAGCCCACATTGCTGTGGTACCTAGACCGAAGGGCCTCGTAAGAACTCGGTAAGTGAGACGACCTAACGTAGTATCGACGACTTCTAGTACGTGATGATCGCTGAAATTGATCCTCGTAGAAAAATTTACTTTCGAAACAAAAGGTTTGGCTCTTTCCCGCTAAACAACCAAAATGAACGACCGCTGTTGGGTCCTACAACAGGTAAAGTCGTCTCTGCCGCGTCAGCACCTTCCATGCACATCATCTCCCGCAAGATTGAGAAGGCGTGATCGGCGTGCAGAAGTACCGACAGCAGCAGTAGGAGAGCGGAGATATTATGCTCTGTCAAACAACAAACACGATAAATTTACTTCTAATCTTCACTGAGCAGCGCTGGCTGTGCCCGCAAAAGCGCCCGCCGCATCTGCTCGCTGACGCTGCCAGTGGCGGCCGGGGTTCATTTGTACAATTGTTCATCTTCACGATTTCATGTAGTGCTCTAGCTGTCAAAGGCAGTTATGGCCGTCCCCGACTTTGTATTCATTGGGTATGTTGTACAATTTTTCATTCTACTTCTGCTCTGCAATTATCTAAGCAACCGCCACGTAGTCTTCCTCTACCGAATTGTAGTGAACCTCGGCCCAAAACGCGAGCCAAAGGGCTCTATTCGCTCCGCTTTTTTTCCTCGTAGCTGCACCAAATGCGGAAGAAGCGTTCTTATTCTGCAGGGGCAAAATGGACAAGATCGCATCGTCATCGTAGCTCGTGATCAGCTTTATCTCACAGTTGTAAACATCTGCAGCCGCTTGGAGCGTCACGTGATCTGTTATGCGATTTAACATTGCCAGCTTCACGAAGCAGGCACGCAGTTTGTAATGCGAAAGCGGACACTAGCACGTAAAAATCGTAAAGTAAAACAAGCAACTTTCATCTTGATCTCATTTCTGCCCGTTGTACTAACGACTTCTACGACGTCCTCGCGCACTACAAACTAATGCTCATGGCGCTGGCAATGCATGCACGTACGATAGCACCCCAAGTGGACTCTTCGGACATGGAGACCAGATACAGGTTGAAAGCTTCGTCAGCCTGTTCCTTTGACTCAATTTCCGTTTTGGACAGCACAAAATTTTTGTAGTGGTCTGCTTCCTGCTCCAGTTTTTCTATCACTATCAAATGTAGAAATGTCTGGGTCTGGAAGGTTGAAACTTGTGATGCTGTCTTCGGATTCGAAAAAAATCTCGTAATGCATGACCAGCAAAAGGAGTCCAGTTTTTGCCACGGCGAGAGGGCATTTCTCATGCGGAACAGGCATCAGGAAGCCCTCTCAAAATCTGTGACGCTAGACCCTGCATTACAGACCTCATGGGTCATGGAAAACCTGCATGGCAAATCTTTCACTGTTCCAGACCCAGACACTTTTGCATTTGATAATCACCTTCCTCCGCACATTCTGGTGGTGCTCCTCGGTGCCGTAAAGTTGGTCTGACAGGGCCCGGATCCTGTGCAAAAGTGTCGCGCTCGTACTTCTAATTGCAGCTACGCATTACAAATCTTTTTTATCGTGGTAAATCTGCATTACAGAAGATTCCATGTCTAATGCTGAGGAAATTTGTAATGCAATTCATACTATTACGATGCTTTTGCAATCCATAGCCCGGAACTGGCACGATCCGTCCCCCTTCACGTGTCTCTCCTTCAGCCCGCATCCACAGTAAATTTCCTGTGCACGTACATCAAATGCTGTCTCTGCATGACAAAACTTGCCTTCAATCTTAATCTGCATGACAAGTTTGACACTCAAAATTAGCGAAGTTTGTCATGCGTATTGTACATGTACGGCGGGAAATTTGTATTGCATAACCCGTAGGACAAAACCCGCGCAACCAAGATGTCGTGTGAGGCGCCCATCCGGAACTCCCGGTCGTAGAATTCTTTTTTCGACAGCTCAATATGCAAGGCAAAAGTAGCGTACTAGTAAAAATTCAAATTGCATTACAAATTCGCCCAGCATTACAAATCAAATTTGTAATGCTGATTGACCTTGACAAAGAGATTTGCGATGCACAACTGCAATTACTTGCTACGAATGCGATACTTTTGCACTGGATATTCCAGCATTTGCTGCAGTTCCTCGTCTTCGTTGATCGCCCGGAGATTTAGGTTTTGCTGCTGTTCCTGACTGTCTTCAGCTAACAGCTTCTCTATCAACAGCTGATCCACGGTTTTTGGCCTGCTAAGCAACTTGGATTCGTTTTTGTTCGCATAATTGGAACTCAGCCCCGCGGGAGGAAGTTGGGAATTGTCCTGTGGTTTCGGCGCCGCGTTAGAGCTCACGGGGGAGGGGATGGGCTGCACAAGGGGGCGGGTGAGCTGCTGCGGACTGGAATGGGGCTCCATTTTTGAAGACGATTGTCGGCGACCTGCTCTCACAGGCGAACACGTTTTATTTGCTTCCTCTTGTTTGTCACCAGCAGAGGACTTGTGCGCCGCCGATTTCTTGCTGCTCGCTGCAGCTGCGCCTGTGCTTTTTGAGCGAGGGCGGCCGCTGTTATTGATGTTCTTCTTTTGGTCGTTGATATCTCCTGCTTCCGGGGACTCTGGAGCTGGTACTGGCTCTCCCTTCGATGGTGCTTTTCGGTGTGGGTGCTGACCTCCTGCTCCTGCTGGCTTTTTCTCCAAATTACCAATCGAACCATCAGCCGGATCACAACTACAGCTCTGGGCTTTCTTGTTCCGGTAAATGGTCTTGATGCTCTTGCCTCCCTTATCGTTTTCGCCCGGAGCCCTTTTGGTTCTTCTTTCTTGAGAGTGATCAACTACACTTGTGCAGCTCCTGTTATTCAGCGCACTGTCGCCGGAGGAGCCTCTATTGCTTCCTGCATCGACCTGATCTTGTAGGGGGCTGCTGCTGTTCGTTCGCCGTCGCTTGCAGCCGAGCATTCAGCTGCTTTGATGGCAGAGGGGATAGAAGGAGGTGAGCGAAGCCCAGTCTTCAGCTGGGCCAAGAACATTAACTAAAGAATAACATGACATAATTAAACTACCAGGGCGGAAACAAAAGGGGTCCACACATCAAGGGACGAGCACCTTCTCAAAACGTAAACCCTCAATGCCGGCGCTAGGTAGTACTGGTGCAAAAAAATCACCACTTCAACAGATGAATTGCCAGTGCTGTGACCGTCCCTCTCCCTCATAATAACAAAAGCAACAACATTTTTTTTCTGTGTTTTCGCTTTCGACATCGACATCGACTCTGAGTCTGAGCGGTGCATCAATTTTTCCATTATACCGTAAAGAAGCGGAACAACACAGGTAATGTGTGACGGTCGTTTGAGGGCAAGGGCAGTGAGTCAGTCGGCAAGCGGACTGTCGGCCGACACGACTGCAACAGGCTGACGAGAATGCAACGCCATTGCAGCCCCAGGCCGAAATGCACAAACCAATCCAACACAGACAATATACCCAACTAACACAATGAGCCAAGATTGATTATCTATGCGGGCGGGCAAGCGGGGCGCCGGCGGGCACCGCACAACATACAAAAATACTTGGCCGGCTGCCCTGCAGACGGAGCCACGCATTGGGGCCACGGGCACCGGGGTGAGTGGGCCAGCGCCCCGGCAGCCGACGGACACACCCCACCACGCGGCCAACATTCAACAGCCAAGGAAGCCTGCCCGCCCGCCGGCGCCCCCCACGGCGCGATGCGTTTTTGGGTGGTTGACTGCCCCCCCGACGGGGGAAGCCGGCCCACCACCCAGACGCACCTGCGCCCGATCAGGCCAAAGAGGGTGGGGGGCGCGTGCGCCCGGCCGTGCGCCCGAGCCAAGAAAGACGAGACACCGGGCCACCCCTTCAACAAACCACGCGCCGCCCCTCCGGGCAGGAAGACGGCCCCGCCCGCAAGGCAAGGGGTCCGCGCGGGGCGCGCCAGCCGGGCAAACAAACACACAACACGGCCGGCCCGGCCGGGCCAATCTCTGGGCGGCGGCGCGCGCGCGCCGCGACCCCCGGTCGAGGCACTGCCCCCAGCTTGCTAGACCATGCGGGGGCGGCCGGGGGGCGTGCAGGAAGGCCCATCAGCGCCGCGCAGCTGTTGCCGAACGCTTCGGCGAAGCAACCAATCTGCAACAAGCCCGGCCGGCCGAAAAACATGCGGCCGGCTCTGCCTTGAAGAACTCCGCGGGCGGGCGCCGTCGGCGCGCGGCAGTGTAGTCTTCGGGGCCCCGGCCCGCTTCCCGTAAAGCCCTCAACACTTCACAGAGCTGGGGGAAGAGCTGGAGACCCTCCCGCGCGCCCGGTCTCGGAAAGGCACCCGCGCAAGCACGGGCCGGCTGCACTTGCAGACCCGCCCCCGCAAAACCGCGCCGGCGTGACAACGCGCCCAGGAGGGGTCTCGCGCCCGCGCGCCTGCTAACTCCACGCCCGCCCTATGTATGTATCGGGCCAGAAGGCGGCCGCCTTGGCGCTACGTAGGAGCTCGCCTCGGCGGTACGTAGGGGCCCGCTCGGCCGGCGCATCAAGCCAGCCGCTGGCTGCCATGGGCTTCGCGGGGCCGCGCACACATTAACCGCCCGGAGTGCGCAAGTGCTGCACCGGCTTGCACGCAATCCAGTCAATGCCCGCCCATGCGAATGGGCGCCAATCTCCTTCGTTTTCCGGGTCGGCCCAGGGCGCGCAAGGGTGGCGCTTTCGTAGCTGTCAGCCAGGCGCACCCCGGCCGGCGTTAAAGGTGCGCCAAGCCGGCCCGCTCCCGGCCGCCTGGCGCCTTCGTGTCGGGGCTTGCTGTCCTCGCTCGCAGTTATTTCTTTCACACTACCCGAGCCCGACAAAATCCATCGGCGTACCGGCCAAGCACTGAACACCACACACACGCGCTGCCTTTGCAGCTGAATCATCTAAAGTCACAAGCTGAGATAGCTGCTCAAGCTCATGTAGTGCTTGTACTTCGCCGAGAGTGAAGTTGCAGCTTGTGCTTTTTGTCATAGTTAGCAGGAGCGGGGAGGCCCTTATCCAGTTGTCCTCTTGTATTTTTCTTGATTTGAATGAAAATTTTACTATAAGTGTCACGGAGATTTTCTCAGTAATAAGCAATAGAAATTCACCATCTTCGTCCCGATGAATCCGCCATCATACGGATCGTCTCGGGTTCTTGTTCTCCATCACCATCGGTGTCTTACGTTTTTTCGGAAGACTTGTCAGAGGAAGCTGAAGTGACTTCTTGTTGAGATGGGATCTGCTCAAAAAGGTCGTCGTGCCCTAACAATAGCAATGCGTGCTTGATAAAAATTCTACTGAATTGTTGATTTGCACACCCTCTGACCGCCAACTAGAAATGAAGTGCGAACGACAAATGCGACGGAGACATCTTTCGATGCTCCAGCGGGTTCAGTCGTACTATGTAAGATAATTTCATTTTTGTAGATAGAAGTAGATGGTAGACTAAGAGTATCACTATGATCAGCTCGCGTTCGTTAGAAAATTCAAACCTAGGATCCGAGTGTTTCGTAAAAAAAATTTTTTTAATAAGATCAAGAAGCTGCGCTAATTTAGTCAAGACGAGACGAGTCTCTCTTCAATGTGATGAGTACAGCACTACACAAAATATAATCCCGTGGCAACATCATCTATGTCTATCATCGTAGTTTTTCACAATAAATCTGCTTCACAAGAGTAGATCAAACCTTATGCCCCACATCATGTTTCTCGCACCCGCCGGTAGTTACGCTTTCGACCCCGATCTGGAGTTAGTTCCCCCGCCAGCACTTTCCGAAGAAGAACTCTCCAAGAGTGCCTCTACAGCCTTCCCATCCAGCTGGGATAACAGGCTCTGCGCAATTTTCTTCAATTTATCCGCCTCCGGATCGAGATCGCAACCGAAGACGTTGAACTTCTCCCCGTTATTCAGCAGCTTGATCAGAGTATCGGCAGCAAAAAGTGTCTCACTGTAAAGGATTTTGTAAGTTTTGCATTACAAGTTCGTTTACACATGATGACAAAACAAACTTGCCCTGCGTACTTCCCAAGGGAAAACACGTTGAAAATAAACCCAAGCGATCTTGCATGTGTAGCAAGACAAATGCGTCTGTGTTCTTGCATCCTATGCATCACAAGTTTACACTGAAACAGTTTTATTTTCTTGCGATACAGAGTAACGGAGAGTTGCGGGCTCCATTCTTTGTTCCTTTCGTAGCACTGCTTTTTCTCGTTCCAAAATTTTTCCAAAAGATTCTATCAAGCAGAAAAGTGTTAACGTCCACGGTTTTCACAGATGGCAGCTATGCATATACAAATATTGCCTTCCATGCATGCTACGCAATACAAATTTTGGCACGTTTAGTGATGCATTGCTGCATCACAAATTTCGGTGACGTTAACACTTTTTCCTGTGATACATTCTGCATCGGTTTGATGATCGCATTCCGCATTTTGTTCGGTAGCTTTGTGGCTGCTGCGGGGTGTTGCGCTTTCTTGTGTGGGGAAAGCTGTTTTCTCGGGTCTGATACAGAAACTTCTTGCGCTTTTTGTTGCTGTTGGGAAACATCAGCAGAACTAGAACTAGAACTACCTCCAGTTCTTGTCGCGCCGACGTAGAAATCAATAGCACGTGCTGGCTGCTGTAAATCGGCGTCTGTCACCAACTGCGCAGTAGGTCCGGTCAGTCGTTGTGGGACTGCACGACTGGGTGGCTTGTAGTTCAGATTCAATTTCGGCAAGGTCGTGTTGGTGTTCTTGGCAGACGCTACTACTTCTACCGGATTTTTACGTACTGCGCTGGCCGTCGTGCCCTGTGACTGTTGCAACATGGTAAGTGTCTTATTTTCCGATGCTGGTGGAAATGGAATAGCAGGAATGGAGGCCCCTGGCGCTGCTCCTATGGGATTGCTGGCAGATGCCGAAGGTGTCTCCCCTCGTACCTGGCCATCCTCTTTCGCACCGGCGTCAGCCATCTCGACATCTTCTACTACTGGAGCGGAGACTGGCGCGAGAACGCTACTTTCTCCTGTATTTCCCGTGTGTTGAGCCACGAGTGGTGCCGCTACCGGGGCGGCTTCAGTTTGTTCTTTCGATGCACCGTTTGTTCCACCTAGAATGAGCTGCAACTCCAGAACGTCTTCAGTAGCCGGCTTCATGTCAACGTCCAAATCCAGCGGATTCTTTTCGGCCGGTCTTGCAACATGATCCTGTTTGAATAAGCAATAACTGTCTATGCATTTTCCTCAAAGAAACAAAAACGGAAATAATTGTGAGTGTAGACGAATACGACGTGCTGCTAGGAAGACTACAGAAGTTCTTGATAGATACCAAGGTGATCATGCTAGAATGGTAAAAGCACCTTCCCGTTTTCTGCCGAAGCGGATTGCTTCATCTTCGGGTCAACGTCAGCAGACTGCCCGCTAGAAGTAGGAACCCCCGCTGGAACAAAACCTTCTTCAGCAGGTGTTGCAGAACAAGTTGAAGGTGCTGGCAACACTTGGACTTGCGCTGCAGAAGTGCCAACATTAGAAGCATTCCCCGCAACTGCCCCAGTGGTCGACGAAGTGGATTTGCTCGCTACTTCTACCGGATTTTTACGTACTGCGCCGGTGCCCTGTGCGGGTTCTTTGGTAAGTGTAGTTATTTCGGATGCTGGTGGCGGGGGCATAGCAGGAATAGAAGTTGCTGCTGCCCCTGTGGGATTGCTGGCAGATGACGAAGATGTTGGGCCTAGTACTTCATCTTTGATTTTTGAGTCGACGTCAGCCATCTCGACATCTTCTACTATTGGAGCGGAGATAACTGGCGCGAGGACGCTAGTGCTTTCTCCTAAATTATCCGTGTGTTGGGCCCCGAGTGGTGCAGCAGCTACCGGGGCGGGTTCAGTTTGTTCTTTCGATGCACCGTTTGTTCCACCTAGAGTGAGCTGCGACTCCAGAATGACATATCCTGTGTAAAAACGTCCCCACACCAGAGTCAAGATGGGAAATCTGCTAGACAAATCAGCTAGCTTTGGTTGTTTGGCATGACAGGTTTGTCCTCGTAGTGTGATCCTGTTTAGCTAGTTCAGAAGCATCACAGATCTAGCAAAGCATGCTGATTCTAGCATGACAAATTCCAAAATATGAACAGGAAACGCTTCTCATATGGCTCCGCATGAAGAGAAACTTCTTTGGCATGCAGAATTGCATGACAACTCTGGGCTACTACTTCTACCGGATTTTTACGTACTGCGCTGGTGCCCTGTGCGGGTTGTTCTTTGGTAAGTGTAGTTATTTCGGATGCTGGTGGGGGCATAGCAGGAATAGAAGTTCTTGCTGCTGCCCCTGTGGGATTGCTGGCAGATGAAGAAGATGTTGTTCCTCGTGCCAGGCTATGAATTGCAAAAGTATCGCACTCGTACTAATTGCAATCATGCATGACAAATCTTGTTTCTTAGCGAAATCAGCATTACAAATTTCATTTTCCTTTCTGGAAAACTTTGTATTGCGATTAATTTATACTAGTACGATACGTTCGCAATGCATACAGGCCCTCCTCTTTCGAACCGACGTCAGCCATCTCGACATCTTCTACTACTGGAGCGGAGACTGGCGCGAGGACGCTACTTTCTCCTATATTATCCGTGTGTTGAGCCGCGGACAGGGGTGCAGCTACCGGGGCGGGTTCAGTTTGTTCTTTCGACGCACCGTTTGTTCCTAGACTGAGCTGCGACTCCAGAATGTCAGTTGCCGGCTTCATGTCGACGTCCAAATCCAGCGGATTCTTGTCGGCCGGTCTTGCAAGATGATCCTGTTTGAATGAACAATAAGTGATGAATTTGTCATGCATTTTGCTGAAAGAAAAAAAAACGAAAATCGTGTAGAAGACATCGAACACGACCTGCTAGATGACAGAGGCTCCATCTAATAGATACAAACGTGATGCTACATTGGTAAGTACCTTGTTTCCGTCCGCTGCCGAAGCCGGTTGTAGCTTCATCTTCGGGTCAACATCAACAGCAGAATCTCCGCCAGAACTAGGAGCCGCTGGAACAAAACCTTCTTCAGCAGGTGTTGCAGAAGTTGAAGAAGTCAACACTTGCGCTCCTGCAGCAGAAGTGCCAACATTAGCATTCCCCGCAACTGCCCCTGTGGTCGAGGAAGTGGATTTGCTCGCGTCTTTGCCAAAAATCAGTTTGAACAGGTTTTGGTTTCTCGCGTTCTTATTCGGATTGGCGTACTGCTCTTTCACATTGTAGCTGCTGCCAAACGTGGAACCTCCACTAATTCCGTCCGTGCTCATAGACCTCTGTTTCTGCTTCGCGAAAGCGGACATGTTGTTCATTCCAAACGGATGAAACTGTTTCCCTCCCTGCTGATACAACATCCTGCGCGACTGATTGTTTCCGGATAAAGCCGTGGAGTTGAGCAAGCTCGAAGAGGAAGAGGAGCTACCACTACTACCACCCGCAAGAACATTCATGCTTGTTCCATATGCGCCGAAGTTGTTCACAGAAGAATACCGTTGGTTCCCGTTTGCTTGCCGGTTCATCAGATCCACCAGCTTCCTCTGCGCCTGCCAATCCTCCCAACTCAAAACCTGAACTTGCTTGATCTGCGTGGTGGCAGGCTTTTTCAGGAATGCAGCAGTGGGCTTTTGGTGTTTGTTTGGCCTCGTAGTAGCTGTGCCGGAAGATGAGCTGGAGCCCCCGGAAAATGAACTGCTAGTAGATGTGCCAGAAGTAGACGTTGGCGCAACGATGGCAGCCGGCGGCGGAAGTGGCATCCGCATCGGCATAGAAGATGTAGGGCACCTTGACGTCGGACTACTTTTCGGACCCATAGGGGCTAGGCCTGGTTCCGAACCAGTGTTCGCTACATTAGAAGCGCTACTCTTTAGAGCTGCACCAGCACCACTTCCCGCTGAAGCTGATTCCTGCTCACTGCGCGGGATCCTATTTCTACTACTTGAAGAGCTTGTCGTTGTCGGCTTCAAAATCTCGCTGGTGATAAAATCCTGCTTCGCCTGCTCTTGTTGCAAGATCACTTCGGACACGTAACAGGGCAAGGTTTCTTCTTTTTCGTGCAGGTATTGTGGCTGGAACTTTTCCCCAATTGCGGACTTGAACTCGCAGTAACCGCCAAGCTTGCTGGAAGACAACAGTCTGTCGATCGCTAGAGATGTTCGGTTGCGAATAGACTGCATGTTGGTGTGTTTGTCGATAATTTGCAAGGATGTGCTGTGTTGATGTCCTCCCGACTGGTTCAGATTCTTCAACGAGTTGTTCAGTGTGGTTCTTCTATTTGGCGGCTTGAGCGATTTTGGCTTGTTTGCCGGACTGAAAGTTGTAGGTTTTTTCACGCTATGCTGTGCAAAAGTATCGTACTCGTATTGCAATCTTGCATTTTTTCTATAAGGTAAATCCGCATTACAAATTTTATTTCTCATGTTGAGGAAATTTGTAATGCATTTGTACGAGTACGATACCTTTGCACAGGGTACACGCCTCCTGTCACTTCGTGGTCAAGTTTTGATGCAGCGGTGGTGGAGGAAGATGATGTGGCTGCTGTGACATTAGCGGCACTGGTGCCCGTGACCACATCCACCGTATTGCTGCGGGGTCGAAAAGTCGTTGGCGCTATATTTGTAGAAGAGAACACGGCTTCTTCTGGCGCCTGCTGCGCATGATCCGCCACTTGTGTTGCAGCTGCGCATGCGTTATTTGCGGTCAGCAGCTCCTTTTCCTGATCCACCGCTGGTGTCGTGCTCGATGGTGGTAGTTGTGCCGTTGTACTATCAGGAGCCACCGCGAGCAGCGGCACTTGTTCTGCTACTTCCACAACTTCCATGTCGACGTCGTTTTCCGCTTGTGTTTGTTTCTGCAGCTGCGCTGGCTCTGCAGGAGCGGCTGGAGCTAATTGTGGCGCTTGTGCATGATCAGGTGCTTCTGCCCCGTGCTCGGATTGGTCTTTTATCGCACCCTCAGCCGTTTCGCGGCCACCCACATCTTCTCGTGCCGCGCGGGGGTCATTTGTAGTGCTCTCAGTTGCCGCTAGAAGTGTAGTAGTTGCGCCGCCGCCCACTGGTGCCTTCTGGCTATCCTCATCTAATATTTCGGACGATGTACCTTTTATGGCGTCGCTCATCTGTGGTTCTTGCTCGAGTGCACTCTCAATATTGTCGTGCTGCAGAGGAACAACTCCCACTTCGCCTGTAGTCACCCTCACCACTGCTGCAGCGAGAGGATTATCGCTTGCAGCCACGATGATCCCTGCATCTCCTCCCACTGCTGTCACTTCGTCGGCAACTTTCGCAGCTTCGCCCGCGACCGCTTGTTCTGTCAGCCAGGCAGTAACCACTGCGAATTCGCCTTCTTCTACTTCACCACCGGTGGTCGCTCGCTCACGACACTGCTGCTCATCTACTCCCTGTACCTTTTCTATTTCTCCGGAAGAGGACGGCGCATTAGCATCCCCTACCTGTGCAGAAGACGTCTCTTGCAGTTCCTGCCCTTGTTCACTATCAGGTTCTTGCACCAAATCAGAAAAGAGAAAATCCGCGAAATTATTCCCCCGTCCCTGCGCCTGGTCAAAGACCTGCTGATAATGCGAGTACAACCTCGGCTCTTCCTCATCTGCTTCTGTTTTCAGAGACGAGGGTCGTCGCTCGTGGTCGTGCGGTTCGTTTTTGTCATAATTTCCCTCCAAACGGCGTTCCTGAGCCTGCTTGTTCCCTGCACCTGCTGTTGCTGAAATTTTAGATTCCACCTCATCTCCCGGTGAAATCACCGGCTTTTCCTCCTTCAGAATCTGTGGCTGCTCACCTCCTATGTGATCACAACGTCTGCGGTTGTAGTACCCTTTGTTTTATGAATTGCAAAAGTATCGCACTTGGTACATACAAATCGCATCACAAAGTTGGCCAGCATGACAAATGGAATTTGTAATGCGGATTCCCCTTCAGAGAGAGATTTGCCATGCATGATTGCAATTACTACGATAATTTTGCAGCTCATATGTTTTTCGTCGTGTTGATTTCCTCTCGAAACTGGTACTCCCGGGGACTCAGGCTGTTCGGCTGCTTTTCTTTCAGGTGCTGCACTGCGCTGGTCGTAGAAGCAGGCGGACCTGCAGTTTCGGATTCGAATTTGGTTTGATCCCCTTGTTCCTCCTGTGCATGATGTTCAGCTTTGCTGCTCTGGTGAAGATGTTCCGACGCCTTGTTGGCACAACCACTTCTGTCGTCGACGCCAGAAGCTTTCTCGTCTTCACCGGCAGTTTCGTTCTTAATCCTCGGACGATGAAAAGCAGAGGACGAAGATGAATCTTTGTAGTGAACGCGACCGCTTCGCAGCTGTTCCTGATTTATTTCACAGCTATCATCATACCCATTTCTACTTCTGCCGTAGCCCCCACTAGAAGTACTCCCGACGTGCCGCCCGTCGGGACGAGAAGAGGCAGAAGTACCAGCGCTCCCACCACCACCTCTTGCGCCGCGTTCTCCCCACGACCTGCTGTTCTCTTCATTTCTCGATCTTGTTAGATCTTCACTTTTTCTATTGCTCCCCCGATCGTCGCGGGCGACAAAGCTTCTATCCCGCTCCCGGTAAGAACTAGTACCGTAGCTCCGATTATAATCATAATCCCGTCCTCCACCTCTGCCGTGGCCCTTATCGCGGAGGCGCTCACCAGTTGTATCAGCTCCACGCCAGCTGTAATCTCGTCCGTAGCGGGACCCGCTATCGTAATCGCGGTGGCGGTAGGTGCTGCTGTCATGGTCTCTTCTGCTTCTATCGTAGCGTCTATCTTCCCTGTCTCTATCTTGATAAAGATCTCTGTTCGTCCTTCTGTGCCCGCTTGAAGATCCAAAAGTAGACCTATTGCTATTACCGGTGTAAAATCCTCCTCCGCTACTAACTCCACCGCCCGGCGTCCGGCGTCGATCATCGGAGCCCCCCGGTGGGCTCGGTCTGCAGCTGCTCGTACTCGCACTTGTGGTTGTTGTTCTGCGGGGGTCGTAATTCGGATTTTTGTTCTTCAAATCAAACACCGCTGCCGCTGTTGTGGGGTCGAAGCTTGATGTCAACATGCCGTCGTTGCTGACCGACGGCTTCAGCTTCTTGCTTCCGATAGCGATGCCGGAAGCTGGTGGTGCACAAGAACCGTTTTTATCGGACTTTTTCTTCATCTCGCCCTCCTGCTTACCACTGTCAACATCATCTCCCTCCTCCTCATACAGCGTCTTCATTCTACCCGCCGGACTGTGGGAGTTGGAACTCTATCCACAGAAAAAAACCCATCCACATCCAATTAGTGATGCAAAACACGTATCAAATCATGTGTTTGTCATGCAAAAAATGGATGTGGATGGGTTTTTTTCTGTGGATAAACTCGGGCGGCATCGTATGCATTGCAAAAGCATCGCACTCGTCGTACTTCTAATTGCAACTATGCATGACAAATCTTGTCCTTAGGGTGAAACAGCATGACAAATTCCAGCTCTCCTGCTGAGCAAATTTGTATTATGCAATTCATACTAGTAGGCACGATAATATTTGCAATGCGTACGTCGTTTCGCCGGTTGATTTTTCGTGGAAATCAGCTCGTTGCTCTTCAGCAAGTCGGTCAAGTTGTCCCCACTCTTCCTATTCGCCAAAAATTTACTCGCATCTACTTCCGGTGTATGCATTGCAAATATGTCTGGGTCTGGAACAAAGCAACTTGTCATGCTAAATCTGAATCATGTAAAAATCTGTGTTGCGTGATTAGCAAAAGCTGTCCACTTTTGACCCAACCGCGAGGCACTTTCTCATGCAGGATAGGCATGATATTGATAGAACTCTCACAGAATCTGTCATGCTCTGTCCTACATACCAGACCTCATGGGTCATGGAAAACCTGCACGACAAGTCTGGCATTCTTCCAGACCCAGACATTTTTTGCATTTGATACGGTGTGTCGCACGTGTTATTGGCGTGTAGTTCTTTTTGCCAGAAAGAGCGCTGCAGGGTGCGCTTCTTCTTGACCACTTCTACTTCAGATTTCGAATCTTCCGGTGGGACGTTTGCGACGGAACTTTGTGTGCTCAGGACGTTTCTCGAAGGCGAGGTGAGTTTTTTCACGACGTAGCTCGTTCTTTCAGCGCCGTTGAGAAGATTCTCCTGGTCAGCACCAGAACCACCACCAGGATTTCTGTTTTCCTTTTCGCTTTGATGTACTAATTCTGCTTGATTTATTCCTGGTCCAGCCGCGGAACTACTACTGGAAGAGGAGGAGGAAGGGACGTCGACGTTGTTGCCCTGCCATTCCGGCATGGCAACAGAATGATCCGCCTGCTCGTCGTCCTTCGGAAGCAATTTCTCCGCTACCGGAGTTCTCGCACAGTCTTCCGCACTGCCCATCGCCCCGGGACCCAGCGGCGTTGGTACCCGCTGTAAAACACGCTTGTGTTGCGGGGCAGGGCGACGCAGGGTCGGCACCTGGTTGCGACGCATCTTGGTTTGATTCAGGTTTTGTGTACTCCTCTGAGCAGTGGCACAGACTAAAACAAATGGCGAAGAGCTAGATGTAGGAAATGCCTCTGTATCTTAACTTCGTTCTCTATCTTCGTCCTATCCGTGGTCTTGTCGGATGAGTCGTGATATGTGGGCGAATGAATGACCACTGTCGGAGTCGGAAGGCGAATTTTTACAAAACGCCTTGGCCCTCATTTCATCAACCAAAAAACTGCATACAAAATTCATGGATGGAATTGGAGCTCTCACACCTCATGAGACCAAATCACCTCGAATCCACGAAATAACAAACGAACGGCAGGCGAGTGCACTACCCAGAGAACGCAACGCACGAAGCGCAAGCGCCACTGCACAAATCACATAGAAAAACTCATGAGCGCGGGCGCCCGTGCTCCTTACTCTTTGCGCCAGCAATTCACTCGCCCACACACGGAGCTGGCGCTGCTTCTGGAAAGACATTGATGCGTAGCTAGCCGCTCGGCTGCAGGCGGGGCGCCACCAAATAGATCCCAAACGCACCGCCTGCGCCGGTGGCGCGGAACGAACGGGCCGGGGGCAAAGCGAGCCGGCAGGCGGCTGCGCCAGCCACGGCGCGCGGAGTGGCAAGATCATAAAAGAGCGAAAGCGCGCCCCGCGGCGGGCTTGCTAAGATATAAATGGGGGGGCGGGGGGGGGGGCCGGCGGGGCCGGCGTGGCCCCAAAGGATAACCCACTCGACCCGCGGGAACAAGACGCCGACAACTACGGGCAAGGCCCTCACCAGCATGGCAAACGCAGGAGAAAAGCGGGGGCGCTGCGAACTCTCAGAGCCCGGCGAACAATCTCACGAACTTCCTCGGCCCAGAACCAACAAGCACCGAAGCAAGGCGATAAGGTAGGGGCACGCTTTTCCGCAGTTTTTGACTCCCAAAGGCAGAGCCCGGCTCATCGCCAATCGCCCAGCACAGTTCAGCTCCAAGGCCGGCCGGGCGGCCCGCGCGCCCCGCGGCGGGCTTGCTAGTATCTAAAAAAATGGGGCGGGGCCGGCGCGGCCTCAAAGGGTAGCCCATTCGATTCGCGTGCGCGAATCCTTACCCATCACCCATCTGCTCTGCGCCATTCAGCTCGCGCAACGGGCCGAGGCCCTGTCGTGGGCTTGGGCCCCTTTTCCCGCCGGCCCGGGCGGCCTCGCCCCGTGCCAACCAGGCTGCCACGCGGGCGGAGCGGCACAACTGGGGCCGGCCGCACAACCCTGCGCCCCTCCTCGTTGCAAAAGCGTAATCCGGCCGCCTATAGGGCGAGGCCCCTGGCTTTGGCCACGGTTTGGAGACATGCCGCCCCGGCTCGCGCCGCAGGTTGTGCCCCGATTCGCGCCCCTCCGGCTCCGGGAAATGAATCGCACGCCTCACGGCCGCCACGCATCCCTTTCGCTCCACCCTATTTCTTTCGCGCCGGCCGGGCGCGGGAACCCGGCCAGGCGGGGTCGGGCTCTACCGCCCGAGGAAGGAACGAAACGCGCGGGCGCCCACAATCTCACGCCGCCAGGCCGTAGCCCGCCCACACCGCCCAGGCTGACCAGCGGGGCGCTTCGCGCGTCTCGATCTGATGTTCGGAGCGTATCTATATACATTACCCGAAAAAAAAAACCACCAGCGCGTGGCCAACAGCAACCCGCGTGTGTCACTCATGCTCCTCTCGCCCTCGATCCAGCGCTCGATGCGCTCACCAAGTACAGGCTCGACCTCGGCGAACACCTTTATCTTTCGAGCTGCAAAGTAGTAGACGTTGTCTTTCATCTCTTCCAAGACCGAGTCGACATCGACGTCATCGTTTCTGTCGTGATCGATGCTTCGACGAAAAAAGCTCAAAAATCTTCTGAAGCACATGGAAGATCTTCTCCAAAATCTTGACAACAGTACTTCAACATATCTCCCCTCATGGTCACGAGATTTAAAAAGATAAATTCGAGAACTATACTCGGCGGCCGCAAGTAAAGGCAGTGTAATAAAGGGGGAGGTGGCGCTAGAAGTTGTGTAGAAGTGATGTACGGCTCAGGATAATCATAATTCAGGGCTAGGTCGTGGATAAAAATATCTGTCGCTTGTTGAGCTTCCCCAACGCTGCTTGTTGGTCTAGAATAAGCATAAAAGGTAGAAACTTTGAAAGCATCTATTTCTGGAAACGCGAAGATAGCGAAGGACTGGGAAAATGTATGAAACGGTGATCATATTGATGAAAATCGGCGTAGCAAAACCGTCGTTGAACATTACAAACGCTCGCTCTGCAAAAGCCGATGACGCTGGTCGCGCAACTGGTACAACTGATGCTAATGGCTTCGGAAGTCGTCAGTGGTGAAGGCAAGGTGGTTAAGTATAAACGGCGGGGCTGAAAAAGAGGAGTTCTCGTTTTTGTTGTATTGTTTTCGACGTTTTTATTGTTGTCATGTCTGCAGCAGCAGCTTCTCGAGGAAGGCCTTCAAATTGCAGCCTTCGTCTGAGATCATGTTCATGTTGGTGGACAATCGTGTACAACAAGTTCTGTTCGGCGATGTAGCTGCACGACCAGGACTATTCCTATTGTCACCAGGACGAAGTAGCCGGCAATTCAATTATACGACCGCTCTTCACCTCTTCACGTGACCGAGTCCCGTCCGCTGCCTCTTTCTACCTCCCCAAGGTCAAACTCCCCCTCCGCTCCCCCTGCTCCCCCGCCGTTCGCTACCACACTGCTCCGGGAAACGCAGTACTCCACAGCTTCCTCAAAAGACAGGCCATTTGCTTTTGCTTCCTCGCAGCTCTGTTCCGGAAAGCCCAGCTCCTTCAGCTCAACGACCGACCAGCTGCTCGATAATTCCTGCGGTCCCGCATGGTACATCGCCATTTGGGCGGACAGTTCCTCAACGGAGGGAAGGTTGTCGAGCATCTGCTGGTATACAATGCAAAAGTATCGGACTGGTCGATGAAATGGCTGTTTTGCATGACAGATCTACACTTGCTCTTCCATGGCTCAATCTTCATGACAAACTGCCGTTTTCCTTCAGAAGAAATTTGTCATGCGCGTTTTTATACGAAGACGATACTTCTGTAATGCGTAGCTGGTAATTCTGCCCGCTGTTGTCGTCGTCTTCGGAGGAAGAACTTTGTTGGAAGTATCCTGTGCAAAAGTATCGGATTCGTATAAATGCAAGTCTTGTTGCGTTACAAATCTTTTTCTTCAGGAAAATCCGCATTACAGATTCTCATGCTGAGAAAATTTGTAATGCATTTATAAGAGTGCGATACTTTTGCAATTGATAGGAAGTTGCTGGCGCTTATCCCTGTGTTTGGGAAGAGGTTTACCGAGCCTGTTGTGTTTACTGAGTCCTGCTTATGTATCCCTCGTTCCGGTAAACCTGAGCTCTGGTTGGAAACTCTGGTCGCAGCAGTAGTTTCTGGCCCGGTTGTTTCTGCATTTTGCTTGTTCACGACGTTTACGTCGTTCGCTGCGAGTGGCCGGCGGTAGCCCCCGGGCCTCGCTTGGGGAAGGGTGTCCAAAACTACTGCGGCGTGATCTACTTGTGGTTCTGTGCTAGTACCCCCTTGTGGTCCTGCAGCCGCGCTACTAGTGCTACTCGTTGCGCCGCCAGATTGCAACTGGTGTGGAGCTGCGGCTGGTGCTGGTACTGTCGTCCCAGCGTGTCCGTTCGCACCAGGGCTTCCGCTGGATCCGGCGATCATGTTCAGAGGATTCTCAACGGTCGTGGTCGCACCGACGCTGCCTGCTCCGACGGGTCCCGAACTACCTCGCTGTTGCGTCAACGGCGAGCCGGTGACTCCGTCCTTTAGCACGTATATGAAAGCCTCAGGTTGGAAATCCTCAAAGTGAAAATAATTTGTAATCCAAAAAAAAGACTCGTCCAGTTGAAGCACCATTTCTAGTCGGCGCATGACAAATTTCCCGGGCACTCAAAACGACGTGTCTGTCATGCTAGTTAGGCAAAGGGGTGCCCTTCTCTCGTGCTACTCAGCAGCCCAATTATGAACCCGTAGAAGCACAATAGTCGGCCTCCATTGCGTTCTCTGCAATGCAGTCTTTTTGGTGTCGCATTTCATGCATCACAAATTATTTCCACTTGGAGAATTTCCATTCTGAGGCTTTCATAATGTAGGCCCGCCAGGCTTGCTGCATGGAGCCGTAACTTATCAAATGCAAATATGTCCGCGTCTGGAAGAGTTTGCATGTTTATCATGCTTGTCTGGCATGACTCTTAAATCTGTCATGCACGTTCCCGAAGCGCTCCATTTATTTTTTGTTATGCAGAAAAATAAACGCAGCCTGTCATGCAGAATACGTAGGCAACACCTAGAAGCTCAGAAACTTGTCATGCTGAGCCAGCACTTGTGGCCTCCTCATGATACGCCACCCAGCATCACAAGTTTCCAGCAGACCCAGATCGATATTTGCAATGGATATACCTTCTTTTGGTTTCAATATCCTCGTACACCGTCGTCCCCGGCCGGGATCGCGATTCCACCTCCCGAATATACTGTGCAAAAGTATCGCACTCGTCGTATCAAATGCATTTTATGTATTACAAATCTAGTTCCTAAGGCAAATCTGCATTAATGCTGAGCCATTTTGTATTGCTGCAATTTGAATTCATGCTAGTACGTTACTTTTGCAATTCATACCGAAACCCCGGCGGCATTTCGACCTGGGCGCCGGAAATAGTGGCTCCGTCTGACGATCCGCCGTTATTTTGCTGTAAAAACTTTATCAAATGCAAACATGTCCGGGTCTGGAGCCTTGTGATGCAAGGAAGGGAATAGTAAGCACACTGCAATGCGCTCCACAGCATGACAAGTTTTTCCGTGGTTTAGAGTTGCGTACTACGCATGAAAAGCTGCGTTTTTGCATGACAGAAGAGAGGACCTCTTCGCGGGCGCGCAATACAGAGCTCACAGTCATGTCAGACCGGCATGACAAGTCTCGCAATCTCCCAGACCCAGACATATTTGCAGTTGATAGACTTGCTTGGCTGCTGATTGAATTTCACATTTGCTCCGTTTGAAGAAATGGAACCACCTTGCTGCTCCTGTGGTGGGACGAGGAAGGGAAAGGCCGCGTCCGTTACAATTTCCTCCCAGTTCTATCCGCCAAAAAAGTGTAGTTCACATTAACGGTTTTTTTTCGGAGATGCCACCCATGCATGAAAAATGAAAAAATGGACCAACGTGCATGTTAACAAGCAATACAAATTTACAACACGAAGTGGCTCTGCGTGCGCCATTGCTATTGCATCAGAAACTCCGTTAATTACATTTATACGCTTTTTCCTGTGATAAATCCACCATCCTAATCATGTTCCGGGTCTCCGGGTCCTGCAGTGCGTCCCGCAGAAAATTCGTGATCTTCTTTTGCACGTTATCGTGTGTAAAAACGTCGCCCCCGCCCCAGAGTCAGGCAGGATAGTCTGCAACACAGCTCACGAAGTTTTGGCAATCAAGCAAGACAAGTTTCTCGTCTCTCTATTGTAGTGAAGGTTAGCAAAGGCACCCGCATCACAAATCAATCCCATTCTCCTGTTTCCAGCATCACAAATGCCAAAACACGACGGAAAGTTGTGCCTCACTTGGGGAGGCGCATTACAAGCGTTCCTGTAATTGCAAATCTGCATGAAAAAATCGGGGTGGTGACGTTTTTGAACAGGATACACGTCCCTCGGCCTGGGGCTATTGTGGTCCGCACCCTCGACCACATGGTAGTATTTGTCTTCGCCGGCATACCTGTAGAAGCATGCGAAGATTGCTGAGTTTGTCATGCGAGGCTCCTTCACGAGGAAAACGAAAATCGCCCATGTCATGGGACAAACTGCATGACAAAATCTTTATAAACAAAACTCCAAATAATACAAATCGTAAAGTTGCTGGCTGTGGTTTGGGGAGATGAAGTTGTCGTCTGCGCCCGCGTATCCTGTGCAAAAGTATCGCACTCGTAGTTATCGCAACCATGCATTACAAATCTAGATGTTAAGGGAAATCCGCATTACAAATTTAATTTGTAATGCTGAGCCAATTTGTGATGCGATTCCTACTAGTACGATACTTTTGCACAGGATACCGCGAGAAAGAATGCCGGGACAAAGGACTTCGAGACGTTTTCGATCGGCTGCAAATCGTCGATTTCAAACCCGTATGCATTGCAAAAGTATAAATCGTAAATAGTAATGGGAACACTGCATGACAAATCTCGCTCTTTAACTAAGTATACCTCAGCATCAGAAAATCCACCTCCATCTCCTGCTAGAAAAAAAATGAATTTGTAATGCTATTTCACACCAATACAGTTTATACTTTCGCTTTGCATAGCCCGGCGCGCTCTTTGACGGTCCCACGGAGGAAGTGGAGAACACCTATCCAGGAAAAAAACACCCATACTCATCCAATTTGATGTCATGCAAAACATGCATAAGCTGCAGTGTTTGTCATGCAAAAAATTGATGGGGATGGGTGTTTTTTCCTGGATAACACCGTCGACAATCATGGTCGTGAGCATGCCGGCTTTTAGCCCAAGATACTCCCCGTTTTCCACTAACTCTTGGCAAAGCGTCCGGAGCCGGGTGAAGGGGGAGTCGAGTACCTTTGTTGACACACGTGGGATAATTGAATCAACAACTCAGGTCGTGCCTGCAGGAGGTACTCACACTGGTACTGTGCATGACAAACTGCATCAGTTGTGTAGTTCTTGCAAGACGGAATTCCACCATCACAACAAAAAATACACTTACCAGACACGCCAGCGAGTGATCCCGATCCGCGTGAAGCAGAGCCGTGACCGCGCCCATCGATCTTCCCCACAAGCCAATGCTGCCGATGTAGCCTGTGCTTCGCAAATACTGGATCACGATTTTCAAGTCTTCCTTTTCAAAGTACCCCAGAGAATATCCTGTGCAAAAGTATGGCACTCGTAGTAATCGCAATCATGCATCACAAATTTCCATCCCAAGGAAAAACAGCATGACAAATTTATCCCTTTGTCACGGTGACCGAATTTGTAATGCGATTTTTACTACTAGTACGATGCGTTTGCAATGCATAGAGAAACGTAGTCCCCGTCCGAGAGTCCGCTTCCGGAAAAATCTAGGCAAAACAGCGTGCAGGGGAGGGGCAAGACGACTTCCAACGCGCCCATCGCTTCCAATCGGGAAGAAGGGTTATGGGAGTGTCAGGATTGAAATCGTCAAAGTTGAGATAATTTATCATGCATAAATGGCAAGGCATGAAGTGTTTCTCTTGCAGGGATGGCAAGTGAGGCCGACTGTAAGCCTGTTTTGGGTTTGCGATAGAGCTGCTAAAGTAGCATGACAAAGGATGCCTTCCTTTGCTAAACAGCGTGACAAACTGGATCTCGATGACGTCGAAATTTGTCATGCGCCGCTTAGGAATTGGGCTTTCAACTGGTATCGGTTTTATGCATCACACATTTTTCAAATTTGTCAATTTCAATCCTGACAGTTCCATAAGAGTTCCCGTGCAGGTACACGACGCAAGGCCATCGCTCGACTTGCCGCTTTTTACTCGCAGTAGATGTGTCTGCTCCCGCAGCACCAGGCGCACTACCGGTGGAGGACGTTGCCCGTGCTGCTGCGGCGGAATTCACAATGCCCTCGCAGAGGTTGTACGGAAGGTAGTGGGAGCACTGGAGTTTGTGGCCCCGCTCGTTGAAGAGTTGGAGGTCCTTCCTGTGCCAGACGGTCGTGCCGCTCCGGAATCTTTTTGGCCCGAGCTCATCCAACGTGTACTGATCCCTCGGGGGTCTGTATCAAAGAAAAAAAGTTCGTCACGATCACTCATGCGCATTTTTGCAATACAAAATTGTTTGTCATGCGTAAAAATGCATCACAGCCGAACTTCATTAGGGATTTCCCTAGTGTTTCTGCAATACAAGGAAAGTTTAGTGAAAGTTCTTTGTGATGCTGAGAAAATTTGTAATGCAAAACCTGCAAGTTAGTGACTGTGACAAACTTTTTTCGCTCCATAGTCTGATGATCGCGTCAACTGCTCCGTGGTAGGTTTGGTACAGGGAATTGAACATTCCACTCATGATTCTTGATCTTGGTGCAGCTCCAGCGGAAGACGATGTTCTTTTGCTCTTCTTTTCTTCGTGTAGTAGTCCACGTTCCTTCTAGTTGTATCGGTGCGGGTGCACGACGACGTCGTTGATAACGACTTTGTAGAAGTAAGTTCTTTCGGTCTTGTTGATGTTGTCGGGAAGCCAACAAGGCGTCGAACATCCGTATCTGCTGCGGGGAGATCCGCCGACGAGCACCACACCAGGCCGCCTCACTTGTGGTGCGCCGGTAAATAAAGTCGCTGTTGTAGTAGTTGTCCTAGTCCCAGCTTCTGCTTCTACACCAGTGGAATATTAAGTCCACCTAGGAGGTGAAAGAATATGTAAGCGGATGGCCAGCAAAAAGGTAGTTCTGGAACGGCTCATCCACCTCCGGCATCTTCATCAAAGCACGTAAAAGTAGGTACTTCACAGTTCCGCGGTATATTTTCTTGCTTCAGAAGTGATTCTTTATTTTTACAACAAACTACACGTGGCGCACAACGACGTGTGTTGCGCGCTAAACACACACGCCGGGTGAACATGTTTTTTAAATTTTCAAAACTGGACGCACGCTTTCTCCACCCTCTCGCACACGGCAGCGTGTCCCCCGTGCAGTAGAGATCAAAAACAGAGGACGATGAATGTTGAGAATGTCCTCACATGAGTGAAATTGTATAATGATACAGCGACGCGCTTGCTGCAGTGCCACTATGTACACCTTGTTTACGAACTTAATCAAATACTTATGCGATGAATTTATAGAGATGTAAGTAGATATGCTAGCATGAATATTTCTCTCTTGCAGCTGTTCAACTTCTCATGCGTTCGCTTTGGCGGTCTATGCTTCCGGGATAATTTTCTATGTTTGTAAAAAAGCTCTTCACTCAGGGTAACAAGTTATCAAACAGAAACGCACCACACAACTACAAAATGATTTTCAAGCGGCACTGTTTTTTCCGGCGTAGAGAAGGTCTTGTAGTTCACGACATGGGTCACAATTACTTCCAAACACAACTTTCTGTTTCTACCGACTTCTAATTTTATTCTCAAAAAGGAACTACAACTGGAGAAAAATTATTATTCAGTTTATTCCCTCTCGTGGTCTACCACTAGCAAAAATTATGAATCTTCGGAACAGCGAGCAAAATCTTCCACGGTGATGGTACTACAGCACGAATACTCATTTCAGCATCCGATAGCCACAGAGCAGCCGGCGATATGACCACTGCTCGCGGCGGCCCCTAGAAGTAGAAAATAGATCTTCCTCCTCGTCAGCAGTGAGTAAAATTTGCTTGATGTTACTGTCTGCTCCAGAGTTGTCGTACACAGTCGTTCCGACTGGTTTGTTGCGATCTACAGTTGCACTCTGTGTACTATATGCAGAAGAAGTACCTGCTTCTCTACTGTAGTTTTGGTCGTTCTCATAATTGTCATCCAGATGTTCCCGACCACTTAGATTATCATTGATATCATCTGCAGCACCTCCACTAGAGAACGAGTATGGGTCTTCATTTTCTCGAGCACCATCCCCTGTTCCTAATCCTACTGGTGGTCCTTCATACTCGTACTCCGTTCCGCCCCCGTGCCCGGTCACCCTTTCCACTTTCGGTACCTCCGTTTGGATGTGGTGTCGTCGCGGTAAGTGCTGATCTACTACTTCTTCTTCTCCCTCTTCTTTTCTATCCCCGCGACCTTTTCCACTCTGCCGATGATTTTTTTGTTGCTGTTTGCTTTTCATCGGGGGGTAAAACTGCCTGCCAAGCGGACTCAGACCCTCTTCGCCGAATTGTTCTTTCATCTTCGCTATGAATTGCAAAAGTAGAATCTTCTTCGACGCACTCGCTGATATTGAAATCGCATGAAATAGAATTTTGGCATGAAGTAGACAGATCATCCGCTTTTTTTTTAATAATAATACCCTAACTGCCCCTGCCGCATGACAAGTTGAAGCTTCATTCTTCCTTCTGGGTGAAAATAAGGTTCCGCATGCAAAAATGTGTGCAACGTAGTACGATTTATACTTTTGCAAAGCATATTTGCGCTCAATTCCGCCTCCTCTCTTGCGATCTCTTCCTCCAACTCCAACTGCCGCGATTATCACAAGAAAAAACTGCTCCAATGTGAACTTGTGATGCAGAAAATGCAATACAGAGCTATTTGTCTTGCTACACCTGCAAGACACTGGATTGTCAAGCGTGTTTTCCGTTGGGAAGCGCGCATGACAAAAGTTCAGTGTCGTGTGTAACAAACTTGTGACGCAGATCTTGCAAAATCATCACAGTGAAACAGTTTTTTCGTGGGATACGGATTTCACAGAATCTACAGAGGATATCATGTCGACTTCATGGTTGATGTTGCTAGAAGAAGAAGATCCACGCCCTCCCTTTCCTTTGTTGCTGCTATTCCCCTTTTTCGCATTCCCCCCGCGTTGGGACGCCCCTTTGACGCGTATAATGTTCGGATCAGTGGATGTTGATGGTCCCGTGCGGGCATGATTCATACTTGCAGGATCGTCATTTGTGGCCATCGTGCTGCCAGACACATCAAGACCGGCCTCCTGCTGGTTGTGATTCTGTGGTCCTGCTACAGGTACAGCACTGCCTCCTGCATCGTGATGCATGGCTCTTCTCTTCTTATCCTGCGCGCTTAGTGGTGGCTTCTTGTTCTTTGGTTTGTTTGCATGGTGTTCCTTGTCCCGACCCGCAGCCCGGTCAATCTCTTCGTTCTGCTTCTGGATGCTTTCTTCAAACATCTCGATGAGGTCACGGGGACCTTCACTCTGCCTTTCCCTGCCGTTTGCCTTACCCTTCGTTGCAGTAGCTGGATGTTCTTGATGTTGTACAGATCCGCGGGAGGGTGGCGGAGGAGGTGGCGGCATCCAAGGTTGTTGTTCCTGTGCTTGCTCTATGCATTGCAAAAGTATCGTACTCGTACAAATTATGCTTTACAAATTTCGACTTCCTCAGCATCTGTAATGCGGTTTGAGCTTCAGAAAAAAATTTGCAATGCATGACTGCCATACGAGTACGATAGTTTTGCACAGGATATGCTCGTTATCACCATCATCATCGTCGAACACTGCGTCTTCAAAATCCGCATAGATCAGGTCCTTCGCGTTCACGTTTCTCTTGCGACCAGTGGAAGACGAATCCCCCATCCCAGCTGTACTATCACCGCCCCGACGGGGGCTGGGGTTCAGCTGCTGTAGTATGAAGGCCTCAGAATGGAAATTCTCAAAGTGGAAATAATTTGTGATGCATGAAATGCGACGCAAAAAAGACTGTATTGCAGAGGACGCAATGGAGGCCGAGTATTGCCCTTCTACGGGTTAATGATTGGAGTGCTGATTAGCACGAGAGAAGGGCACCCCTTTGCGTTAACCAGCATGACAGATATGCTTTACGTGCCCGGGAAATTTGTCATGCGCCGCTTAGAAGTGGCGCTTCAATTGGAGTGCTTTTCTACATTACAAACTATTTTCGCTTTGAGTATTTCCAACCTGAGGCTTTTATATGTAGCGTCTGCTGGTTTCCATCAGAAACTACGCCGATGTGGTGCTGCGTGTTCTTATCCACAGTAAATTTCCCGTACACGTACAAATGCAGTCTCTGCATGACAAAACTTGCCTTCAATCCTAGTCCAGCATGACAAGTTGGACTCTGCAAGGTAGCGAAATTTGTCATGCATTTTGTACATGTACAGGAAATTTACATTGCATAGTTCTTGGCTCCTCCTTCTCGACTTCCTGTAGTTTCGCCGCCTGGCCTGCTTCGACTTGATGTAGTTCTCCCAGTTATACTTCTGCCACTTCCTGCGCTGCTCGCACGACCTGCGGCTGAAGATCCAGCATGACCAAGATCAGAGCGCTTATCATCTGCTGCACCTCCCACTACACCCGGCTGTAACGTCGCAGCAGTCTTCTCGTTGTGTGTTGTCGCAAATAAAGTAGCGGTGCTGATTCTGTTCCACGGCGGGAGAATCTGCATCTGCATGTTCTGGTTATCAAAATGAAAAGTCCCCCCTCCCCATACTAAAGCGGAGATTTGTGTACTTAGTATGATTTGTGACCACAAAGTCGTGTTGTCATGCTAGAGAAGGCAAAGGATGCGGACTGCGACTGTAGTGCTGGCTGGGGTGGGAAAGCCTTGTATCTTCAGCATGACAGGAGACAACTGGAACAGGGAAAGAGCATGACAAATTGCCTACAACTCAGGCCACAGCTGCGTCTTTATTTGGCCTTCTAGCAATACAAGTCGACTTGTGTACGCAAATCCAGCATCGCAGTTGTCCTTCTCGATATGGGGAGGGGGGATTTTTCCTCACAATACTGGTAGAACACCGCTTTCTCGATTTTCAGCCCGATATTCTCCAGCAACACGCCAGCGTCCAAATCCGATTGAAATTTGATGTCGTTGTCCGCTTTGGGTAAAATTTCGGTGCTGATCACCTGGAACATACGGGAGAAGTGATCTTCTGCTTCTTCGGTCTTTTGCTCTTTCACCTTTCCCACCACGGGCAAAATTTGGTGCTTTGGTCCGCTTTTCGCGAGCTTCTCCATCTGTTTCTTGAAAATCGCTTCGTATGAATCCTCGTCGGGCGGGGGAGCAGCACTAGCAGTGGGGGAAGATGTTGCAGTACCTGCCATGTTGCCACCTGTCCCTGTCAGTGGCTCACCATTTTTACTTCCGCTTGATGTCATTGCCAACCCCTGAATCCCGACATTTCCCTTCAAAATCGGCGTGCCATACTCGTTATCCTGTGCAAAAGTATCGTACTCGTTGTATTATAATCATGCATTGGCATTGCAAATCCTTTTCTTGAGGTAGATCAGCATTACAAATTTTATTTCTCATGTTGTTGAGGAAGAGGATGAGGAAGCCTGTATATGCATTTATATATACGAGTAAGATAGTACTTTTGCACTGCATACTCGTCGGCGAAAGAAAAATCTAGCTGGCTGTTGAGTGGTGACTCTAATTGTACTTCTTGCCGTGCTGCGGAAGAAGAAGTTGCCGGTGCGGGGACCACTTCTTGGGAAGTATTTTTTTTACTGTCGCCAGATGAAGATGATGGGGAACCCGCAGCGACTTCTTCTTGTTGCAGATTCCAATGCATCCACTTCGCGTTCGGCACAAACCGCTTATCCACGCCGAGAACTTCGCCCTATCCTGTGCAAAAGTATCGCACTCGTATAATTGCAGTCATGCTTCACAAAATTTTTTCTTCAGGTAAATCCGCATTACAAACCTAATTTATCACGCTGAGGAAATTTGTAATGCATTTATACGAGTACGATACTTTTGCAATGCATACAACCCCGTGCCTCGCGATTTCCTCACTGTTCACGTACGTGCGGTAGAGGTAGGTGTAAACGCAATCAGGAAATTTCGGTTGGCAAGATTGGAACGAGTTGCAGTTCGGAAGGAAGGTGGCCCTGCTTTCCAAATCGGTTCCGTTCTCGTCGCTTTCGTGAACAGCGCAGGCTGGAAAAGCGATCGCCAGTTCCGTGAAGGGAGTCTTGATTGAAAGGGACGAAGAAGAGCTAACATCTCCTGGTCGTGCTTCTGCGCCACCAGCATCTTGTCGATCCTGATTATGCGGTTGAGAAGATGAGTACGGGCCTCGGGGAATTTTTCCCGAAAATTTGCCGACCGCGATCACGACGAGGGCGCGGCAGGAGGGAGGACCAGATAGCCGGTTGTCGATCCCGTTCGGGTAGCAGAGCGGCTCCCAGTCTTTGTCCAGTGCAAAAGTACTCGTAGGTTGTATAGCAATCACGCATTACAAATCTTGTTCTTAAAGGTAAATCCGCATAAGAAATTTTATTTCTCATGCTGAGGAAATTTGTAATGCATTTATACGAGTACGATTTTACTTTTGCAATTCATAGTCTTCATGTGCATGTCCCGCCGATGGCTTCGAGGGCGTGGCTTCGTTGTGACGACCGAAAAACTTCCTTCGCAGCAGCTCACTATCCGCACTAGCGTAGAATTGCAGGGAATCGCCGGCGTCAATTTCCAGGCCATTCACATTGTCGGGGAATTTACGGAAGAAATTAGATTTGGGCCGCGTCGACCTGGGTGCGGCTTGTTCCGGGACGGAAGTTTGTGCTGGTGTGCTTGCTGTAGCAGTAGTGGATGCTGCAAAAGCAGAAACAAGGAAGCATCTACCCAAGTGGCCGCGAAAGATCCGCAGCATACACCTCTTAAACACGATACGCAACGGCATGGGACGACGCAGGCAGAAAGAGGGCGCCGCCGGTATTTTCGGAATAAAATCACTTTTTCTTCTCATCTTGGTCCTTTCGACGACGGGTTTTTATCAGTCGCTATTGTTTGACAACATTGCGACTGCCCTCCGGCTGGTCGGTGTGAACTAACATTTTGCAACCGGCAAATAAAATAAAGTCGTCTCTGTTACGTC